AAGAAGACAGAGGCTCTCTCTTCACCTCAGCTCCTATGTCCCAACCTACCTCCTGGTTTTCCCAATTATGAAGAGGTTTCTTAATTCTTCCTGACTGTAATCTACGCTGGCGTAGTCATGATCATCGTATTTTTCTACGAAGGGACTAGCTCCAGCCGTCGCATCCACAAACGGCGTGGACAAGGCAACACAAGACGCATTCTGTCAACACGCAAGCGCTGTCCACTCCGCTAAAAAGCAGACCTCGCAGTGACGTCAGAGCCTGCCAGTCTGGTAGGCAAAAGCGCGCGACACGCGATTCTTTAGCTGGGCGGCGGTTTGTAACCGTTACACATTTCCCCTCTGCGTTTGCTTGTAGGTGTGGTGACACGCCTAGGGCCGGCTTGGGCCGCGCCAGTCACCTGCGGTCTCTCCCGCTTCCGGTCTTCTTGACTACTTCCAGACATCGCGCCCAGCTGAGGGGGGAGTGTGTGTGTGTGTGTGTGTGTGTGTGTGTCGTGCCCTCAGAATGGGCCACGTGTTAGATGCGCTGGACCAAAACGGGGGTCACATCGGACTCTGGCAGGCGTTATCTGTGCGCAATAACAAATGCCAACATTTGCGGGGTGCGCTGGCGGACCCTGTCGTCTGCAGTTGTCGCACAACTGGACCACTGTCACCACCCCATTGTTTTGTGGTCAACATCCTGGTCATTTGTGTGTGGACCAGGGGGTGCGGAGTGGAGCGCCAAGGCGAGGATCCGTCCAAGCCATCCACCTGCGGCCTCCCCCGTCTCCGGTCTTCTTGACTCTGTCTTGACAGGGGGCCCAGGCGGGGGAGGAGGAGAGAGTGTAGGTAGATGCTACGCAAGTCTACTGGCACTATAAACCCCTGCGTAAGTCACCGTCCCTGCTCCCACAATGCAGTCTGTGGGGCACACGGTGGACATCGCCGAAATCGACGGTCGAACTGTCGTGTGTGTGTGTGTGCGTGTGTGTGTGTGCCCTGGGGTGTAGGGGTGTCCAGCGGTGGGTCCACGTGATGGTCGTAGTGGTCGCTCACTTGCTTGCAGGTGAGACTACGCCTAGCGTCCATTTGCTGGCACCTAACTCTCACCTGTGGCTCCACGTAGCTGGGCTCTGCTCAGCGGCCACACCCCGGGCAACCGTCTCGACCGGCGGGCTAAACCAGGTGAGGGTATCCGTGCGTGCACCTGCACGCGCGGTACTGTGGTCTGCGCTGGCCGGACGGATCTTCGCGTCGACATCGTCGAGACGAGGCTCTGCCTGGACCATCGCAGGAGGCCACCAGGTAAGTTCCCCCTCAGGTAAGTGCGTTTGCTTTGTTTCCTCCTTTTGTTTGTTGAAGTTCCGCGTCGTTCGCTGCGCTTGCTGCCTGCCCTTTATATGCTAGTCTGTCTGTCAATAGCTAAACGACACCCACGATGCCTGCTGCAATTGCCTGTCCGTCAGTCTATGCCACTGTCTTCTAGCAAGGTGTTACGGTGCTTGAGTTTGTGTGGTGCCCTCACTTTGTCTCTGACTGATGACTGTGTCCGCTTGTCCACTC